TTTCGAGGGAATGCATATAGAAGTGATGTATATATATGCATATGTATAAAAATATATATATATATATAATGTATGTATGTATGCATGCATGCGTTTAGTCCATTTTTCTAGCTGTATTTGTTGAAAAGTAACCTGTAGTACTCGTCACCAATATATCAAATATGCGAATCAATTTAGTCATGATAATTTATGAATATCCGGTACATTATTCCCAATTACCATATATTAATTAAGAGAAGCCGAGAAGACAGATTTCTTTGTTCCTTGCAAAAACTAAGATGAATTGATCTCATATATATAATTCTTTTATACTTTAGGAAGACGTACGAAAACAGACCAATTTTATATACACACACTTCAAAAATTCAGATGGGCAACACAGCATGCGGCAAAGAGCGGTCCCACTGCTCCTTAGGCCCACTCAGCCACAGCCGAACAATAATCTCATGATCATCATCACCACTAACAAACACCGTGAGCCACGTGTCGAAATACTCCCGCAACCGAGTCATGATCCCATCCTCGAGGGTCCACACGTGTGCCCAATATGGTCAATGACCATCCGATCCCCGCCATCCCTCGACGATCACACGGTCAGCAAAGGCCGTGATGTTCCTGGGCTTGAATTTGAACTCCGAGGGATTTGACTTCCCGGTCAACGTCCTCATCATGTGTTGGCAATTTGGAGGTCCATGGAACCACCACTCAAGATCACTCGCCACAACTCTTGAAATGGTCTCCGTGTCATTGCTCGCAAAAGCCTTGTAAAACCCCTTCACGGTTTTTCTGTTCCCGGCTGCGACCGGTTCGAGCTCCGCCGCCAGAAGCTCACCGAGTGATGTTCCCTTTCCGGTCATTGATTCGCCATCGTTGATCAGAAAACTTTAATAAAATGCGGTTTGGTGATCATTATAATTAGTAATATGTTGTGCATGGGAGGATTAGCTTGTCGAAATTAATTACTTACATAAATTTGGAGGGACGAGGTATATATAGTCAACCTAGGGCAATAATATATTATTGGTTGATATTCAATTGATGGTCACGATTTTTCTCTTTTGTTTAAAGTTGAAGATCGGATGGTCCAGATAACTTTCCCATTTTGAGGATGAAACCTGAATTTATTATATTGATTGAGTATATTCTTTGCCGGGGGGAAGGTATGAATCTAGAACGTAACTAAAGACAAGTTTTTGGATGCGAATTTGTTAGATTATTAGAAAATAAATATTCTCGAAACTTCTCCAGCTTCAATAGGTCTTTCTTTTTCTTTTCTTTTTTTGTTTTCTTTACTAGCTAAAGCAACCTCTTTTTTATAAATAAAATAGCTGAAAACAACCCTTCAATGAACCCAAATTGCAACGAGCCCAAATTGACGAAAACATTTAATATACTGTAAAGAAATAATCGATCAATTTAAAACAGTGTGCATCTATTAAATAATTAACGCGGGCGGCAATTTTTCTGTAGAGCAATTGGTACTTTTACCTATAGATAAACAGATATAGATCAATTAATACCATGTAAAGTACTGAAATTATATAATCTGCATATACAATATCTTGCAAAGTTGCAACAAATTAGACAAAATAAGCTTTATATATCAGTGTGGGTTTCACGCAGAATTTTTACAAACGAGTGTTTCTATATAATTAGGAATACCAAGTTATGATATATATATATATATATATATATATATTATCTGAGGGAAACGAAATTACAATAGGTAAGCTGAAAATGAATCAAGCCATTGGCGCGCATAAGATATTGTAGTGTCCTATACAGGCTGCATTACCTTTGCCCTTCAACCATTTGGTCAAAAAAAGCTCATTTTATTGGAAAAAAAAAAAAAGAAAGTAAAGAAGGTTCGATCATGTTGTGGAGTAAGTCATTATGCGCAATTATTAAGAAATTTTTAGGATTGACCATCCGAGTAGCGACATGACGACACGATTTGAAATTCACACAAAGTTAGCAGGTTTGAGTTTGCTATAAATGAGTTTAAGTCATAATCGGGTTGACACAATTAACATGATTAATAAATGGGATGGGTTAGGGTTGACCTCCTAACACAAAGTGACACGAATTGACATGATTAACTATATGTGTTATATGTAATCTAATGATATGTGATATAACATGAAAGTTTATATGACATATTAAATACAAATAATGTGAATTTTAATATTTGTATGTAAAATTCATTTATTTTTCTTAAAGGAAAAGATAAATTGACCAATAAACATGTCTTGACCTTGTTAAATAAGTCATTATTATATTAGTTATTTATTCAATATATTAATTTAAACATGTTATATGGATTGACACGATTAATACGGTTAATAAATGGGTCGTGTTTGGATTAACATTTTTAAAACGTTTAATAAATAGGCCGTGTTTGGGTTGATATTTTTTTACACGATTAATAAACGGGTTGACACGAACATAACCCACTAACACGAATTGCTACCTTTAGAAATTGTCTATTATATATACATACTTTTGTATCTGATATAATTTTAATCAGATCTAATAATAAGAAATTAATTCTACCGATAAAGAGACCCTATCAAAGAACCACAGTTGTCATACATTGACATACACAAATGACAAAACTCATCTCAAATTAATTTGGACTAATTAGATGCTCATCCCGTTGGCACATCGTATACGTACAAACGTAAATATGTGTACAAGTATATGCATATATATTAAATGGTTTTTGTGTTTTGGATAAAACATATTGAGTTCGCGTCACGAAAGAGGAAAATTACGAATCCCTTTTGAACTTTTAAAGAAAACAGAGACGGGGAGAGAGAAAAAAACTGTTACTTGTAAAGATTACCGCTATGCTATTAGTGTTAGAAGGGGCCTTATTAAGGGATAATTGCAAAATTACCCCTTATAACAGCCATGCTTTTAATATTGATCTCCAAATAATGACTCTTTATAAATGTTCCTTTGGAAGTGCTGGTCAAGGGTCACAATATATATGTTACTAAAAATGTCCCCACCACTTAAAGAGGTAATCTACCATATTACCACTTGTAATCTACTGGATGTTGCTGAAAGACGATCTCCAATCCGCCACACCGCCCACCAAAACCAAGCATCTCCAATCGTAGCACCGACCACCAAGAGGAATTTGGTCTATTATTTTTTTGTAATTTACCATATTAATTTTTATTTTAAACTAAAAAATAACTGGCCATCTCTAGTAACTAGTCTGGTGGTTGGAGAAGAAACTGATTATTTTTCATCATCTTGACATCTACCATATTATTTTTATTTTCAATTATAAAATTTTCGATTATCTTTGGTCTCTACCAGGCTATTTTTTTATTTACATAAACATTGGTTAGAAATTAGTCCAAAATTTTTTTAAAACAATTACAGACCGAATCTAGTTGGACCAGTTTTGTTACCGCTATGGCAACAAGGATCTTGGTTGGGCCAGATCTCTGGTGAAGACGATCAGTGACCACAGAAGGAGGTCAAAGATCTGAAGGTGGAGAATAGAGATCTAGAGGAGGAGGAGCAGGAGCAGGAGATCCGACAACATCTTGTCTTGGCAAAGCCAGATCTGGTCGTCAAGACCGACGCTATTGAATCTCGAAGGGCAACTAGCGGCCATGGAAGACGACCATATAACAGCGATGGCACCGCAAGCTTTGTAGATTGCAACCTAGAAAGATGACCAGAAGACGGGCAGAGAGAGAGAGAACTAGCGGCCATGGAAGACGACCATATAACAGCGATGGCACCTCGAGGTTTATAGATTGCAACCAAGGAAGATGACCAGAAGACGGGGAGAGAGAGAAATTTCAAACAGAAAGAAAGTTGACAAATAAAAATATGTAGGGTTTCATTTGACGTAATTTAGTCATGTAAATTGAATGATCAAAGTACAAAAGATTTAGTTCTGAAAACACTAATAAAGGGGCAATTCTGATTACATGTTATTTTTAAGAGTCAATCCCAGAATTTTTCCTTAGTTAAATTAGAGGCGTTAATTGGGTATCGATTATTGCCATATTCGAAACTTTTTCAAAATATTTGCAACTAAATTTTTAAAAGTTTCAGAGTATATATAAGTTCTGAAGTACTCTACACCTTGTGGTGGAGTCACACTAATTGGAACATTATACCCTTTAATGATTGGGGTTTTTCTCCCTTCAAACCCTCGTTCTTTCTCTTTCTCTCTCTCCTAACGCCTCTCCTCTATTTGTTGTTGCACTAGCCTCTCATGCCATTGTCTTGTTCTCAACAATGTCTCCTCCACTTGTTGTTGACTTATTGCTCTTGCTTTTTCGATGATGTATCTCCGATATTCAGGGGCTGCACGAAGCAGATCTCAGATCTTTGCGCTAAGATCGATCTCTTCTTCACGAAGGAGATATCAGTGTTTTTCTCTATGCAAGTCCTCACGCAGAGATCAATCCCCTTCAAGCAGAGGCACTTGATCCATTTCGCGCGGAGGAAATCTTCGTGCTCTTCTTAAGATTGAGATCCTTCGCACAAAAGAGATAGTTGCGAGGAAAAAATATCCACCCATAGGGGATATCTCAAATCTCCAACAACCCTGCGCTGGGTTGCTAGCGATTTTCCGAGGGAGGAGGTCTTTTTTTAAAGATTTTTTTCATATTTTTTTATAAGTTCCAACAAGAAAACCGACGGAATCATATTATAGGACAACCATCAATTGCCAGATTTTTGGGTATCATGGTGGACTATCATTAGGATAACGACAGCTGATTAATGATGACAGAAAAGTATCACAATAGGATACCGGACCGGAGCTGCCGGTTGCCTTTTTTTTCTGTGTTTATCTTTTTTGGCATTTAGGAAGATCGTGAAGTCAGTGTATGTTTGGGCTATAATATTTTATTGCGGGTCACATTAATATATACCATTTCCCTTTTTGAATACTTATGATTAAGTTCTTTTTTGTGATGATCAGATAATCTCTTTGACCGTAAATATTAGCTATCACGATAAATTTACAAAACCCCGCAATTTTTTGAGGAAGTATACCCACCATCAACAACAAGGTTATGACCACTCACATACTTTGATTCATCACTTGCAAGATAAAGAGCAGCCTCCGCTATATCTTGAGCTTTGAGAGTTGCACCCTTCAGATTGGCCAGGCCTCTCACGAACTCTTCCATCTTCTCCACTTTATTTTCTTCTTTATCAGACGGTATTCCTAAATCCACGTCCCTATCAAAATCATCATTATCATAACTCCTCCATGCATTTATCAACATGGAAGTCGCCACCCCAAAGGGAGAAATGCAGTTAACCCTAATCCCATACCGGCCGAGCTCGCAGGCCGCATTTTTTGTCAGCCCCACCACGGCGTGCTTTGACGCGGTGTAAGCATGCGGCCCAAGGCCTCCCATGACGCCGGCGACGCTCGCCGTTGAAATGATGCAGCCGCTTCTCCGTGGGACCATAACCCTAGCCGCGTGCTTCATACCCAGGGCGGTTCCTCGGACGTTGAGCCGCATGATCCGGTCAAGCTCGTCGGCGTCGAGATCGAGGATGCTCCTTGTTGATTTGATCTGGTTTCCGAGAACTCCGGCGTTGTTGAAGAGAATGTCTAGCCGGCCGTGGTGGGAAATGGTCGAGTTGATAAGGTTTTGGATGTCGTCTTCTGAGGTCACGTCGCAGTGTACGTAGACTGCTAATGGAGATAATGATTCGGCTAAAATAGTGCCGTTGGCGTCGTCGATGTCGGCGATGACTACTTTGGCTCCGTGTTTGGCGAAGAGTCTCACTGTTGCCTCGCCAATTCCTCTCGCGCCGCCCGTCACAATCGCTACTTTTCCCTCCAACCTATACGTACAAATTTGTGTAGTAAAACGCATCATTTCAAAATGTAAGGTATACTTTTTATATAAAAGCAAATTGCAGAGTATACGAAAGGTAAATAAAGGTTTTAGCTTAATTGTTACTCACAAAAGACCACCTCTTAATACACACACACACACACACACACACACAAAGCACGCATTGAAAAGGAAAAAGAAAAATATAACATATAGACTTACCTCTTGTGTAAGTGAGAGCAATTAATAGTACTTGTAGTACTGCCTGCTATTACGTGATGAGGATTTACTTGAGCAGGCTGCATTGATCAACTTATAGAGAGAGAGAGAGAGAGAGAGAGAGAGAGAGAGGTGAAGAACATTAGAAAAAACGAATGGGCTTTATAAAGCATAAGGTTTCCGTGGCAACTCTCTTCAATTATTGGCGTGTCCTCCTTAAACTGCTAACTTTATTCCAACTTCCAACCTCAATATAGTACGTCTTTTCCATAGTTTTCCCGTCTCAATTTGTAAATAATGATGACAAAGACGAAACCTATCACCAATAGTTATAGGAACACGGACTATTTAATTTATCATAGTGCCAATTTCTCTTTGGCCTACTTTACTACTTAAGTTTCGATATATCGTACTAAACCTTATCCCGACCTTACCTTGTATATTGTGTGAAAAAACGTCCTCTGTCTGATACTTTAAACAGTAGTACTTATGATCTGAAGGATATGATATTTTGTAATTCATATAATGCTTGTGATCTTCACATAGACATAGTTGAGCTTTTCGTAGAAGCAACAATAAAATGCATTTTGGTGTGCTATCTTATCCCTCCGGGGCTCTTCTGTTGTTTTAATAAAAAGAAAGGTTATTGTGATACTCTGGTCCTAAATTTTTAATTTTCGCATAACTTCCCCAATTTTTATTTTTTTAACAATTGTGATCCTTAATATTAAAGTTGACGTAATTTCTAAAATTCAATAGAGATATATTCACATTCCTATAGCATGTATAATAACTAAAAGTTCTGCAAATAATGACATTAAGTGCAAAATACTCTAATCTCATTCGACAATAGTGAAGGAACATTTTGCACATAGAGTACCTATATTTTGGTGGAAATTTTCAAGTTTATGACAAGTTGGAACTATGTTCACCTTAAGTAAATTTCGGAAATCCTTTGTTAATTTTAGTGTCAGATACCAAAACTATCAAAAATAAAAGTTTGGAGATTAATCCGTCAGAATTAGAAATTCGGAGATCAAAGTATCACAACGTTCATGTTCAAGACTAACAATGCAAATAATAAAAAGAACTAATTAACGTATGAGAACACAACCAACCCAACTAGCTATCTATACACGTATATTAAGATAAATATTTACGTGACATGCACAACTTTCGTTATGGAGAGAGCTCTTTCCTTTCGGATATGGATTTGTAGTCCTTCTATAAAATAAGCAAACTTCAGGAAATCTGACGTTTGGTTAGAGGATTTAAATCATATAATTCGAACCATTTTTTATTTACGTGTATTTTTTGTGAGAGGAAATATTGTAGCGAACCACGAATCATTATTCGAATCAGAGAACGAATCCCTCTACCAAACACTATAAAATAAGCAAACTTCAGGAAATCTGACGTTTGGTTAGAGGATTTAAACCATATAATTCGAATCATTTTTTATTTACGTGTATCTTTTGTGAGAGAAAATACTGTAGCGAACCACGAATCATTATTCGAATCAGAGAACGAATCCCTCTACCAAACACCCTCAAGAGATTGTTCCAGGGCATATACGTATATAGTCTAATTTTGATTAGAATTTCGCTGACTTGTTATTCTGCAGAGGTGGCCATTTCTGTTTGGACCTTTTTGAACTTTTGCTGACATGTTGCCACGTCAGCATTCTGAATTATCAAGATATATATCTCCTTAGCGCTAGAAAGTAGGAATAGTTGTGAGATATATTCAAACAGTTATGCATGGCCACGGACGACATGCACGCGTAAGAAAAGTGCAGCAAGCAACAAAAAACCAGCTTTATCTTGTTATTAATGAGAGCAAGTCTGGAGGAATTCATAAACTTTTTTCCTCGTCCCTTTTTATTTTTCTCAAGAGGAATTTGAATATAATATGATTAAGTAAAACACAAACTGGTAAGTATATATTAACCGACTAAAATTACAAAACATTCTCATGGCAGCCTCTAATTCCTTCAACAAATTAATCCACCATTTACAGGGAGTTTGAAGTAAATAGCATATTTATTATAAATAATTAAAATAAATAGTAGATTTTAAAACTATTTGTAGTAAATAGTAATAAATTAAAATTTTATTTGATAAAGAAATCATTTTACGAGTTGTAAATAGAAAACTTACGTGGTAAAATCTTTTTATTAATCGTAATAAAAAATGTACACTACAACAATTAAGCCCATTTGTGATGACATTTTTTGTGACGACATTTGTCGTCGCAAATAATACTCTATTTACGATGACATGTCATCGCAAATACCTATCGTTAAATAAAATAACCATGTCGTCGCTAATAACTTCAATGACGTCGCAAATAATATTGGCGTGCAATTTTTAATGGCGCGGATTATTGGCGCCAAGGTAATCCGTTTTTTTGCGACGACAAGTCATCACTATTTGCGACGACATTTATCATCGCAAATAGTTTTACCTTATTTGCGACGACATTGTTTTACTGTCGTCGCAAATAATCTTATTTGACGATAAAGTAGGCGCGGGAAAAAATCATTAGTTGCGACGACTTTAAAATATTTGCTGCGAGAAAATATCGTCGCAAATATTTTAGTATTTGCGACGACATTTATATTAATTTACGACGATAATGTCGTCGCAAATATTTTAGTATTAGCGACGACATTTTAAATTTATTTGCGACAAATACGTCGTCGCAAATAACTCTAACCCAATATACCCATCTTCTTCTTCTTCATTTTCTCCCGACGCTCTCTCTCTCTCTCTTGTAAATCTCTCTCTCTCTCCTGCAATATCTCAGTCATAGCCTCCTCTTCCCGTCGCTGCCGCCGCCGCCCCCACTGCCGCCCTCTCCTTCT